ATTCTGATAAACATAGTTGTATGGTTTTTTTTCATAAGTGGTAATACTGTTAATTTGTTACAAAAAAAAACCCATTAGCTCATCTGGTCTAAAACAACAGGTGACCTTTTGGTGTCTGTTACATGGAATTAATATCTATGTTATTAGGGAAGTCCCCACCTGTTCACACATTTGTTGTAGGGTTCTGGTTCTGGTCAGTAATCAGCAGCGTCCTATTAGATATCACGCTGATTGTACATGTGCGACATGTACTTAATTATAGAATAATGACAGTGTCAAAAAGTTCATTGAATAAAACTACGTACACCAGTGTCTGTCTACTACTGTTTGGTTGACAACCTCGCCTTGAATACATCTGAGGTGGGCGTGTCCGTTCGTATCTGGAGACAGAGTGTTCCACACTAACACTGATCTTGGGGAAGAAACGAGGACAATCATGGTTTACTCAAGTGGATCGTTGGTCTAATATATATATATTTTTTAATAACATACTTGAATATTTTGTGTATCCAGGAAAGTGCAGGCCCTTTTGTATACAAGTGATCAAAGCTGTACTGCTACTTTTCAGGATTATCTCCCTTCAATTTTAAAAGATCGAATCTATATTTCTATTTCTTAACACATCAGAAAAGAATATAGCTTCACTCAGCTCTGCACCGAGGATTAAATACTCAAACATCAGACAAACAAAATGTTGGTCTCACTCTCACAAACATATCATCATTATTTGTTAATGCTTTGAGAGAAACAATTACTAATTCTGAAGTATTTTATTTAAGAAATCATATTTTTCCATCATGTGTGTAATAACAAAAGATCACAGAAAAAAGACCTAAAAAATAATTTTGGAAGAAGGTTCAAAACATTAAAAAGTACATCAACATTTTTCTATGGGGATATGCCCAATACACCTTTTCAAAGTAATAAATAATCTTGTCATCCGTTTTTGCGTGCTATGTGTTTTGGCGAAGCAATTTTATTAAGCTTGATCACATACTTATTACTAAATACGCAATTCCCGCCCTATATGATACGACTACAATCACGTGACCCATATCAGACCGACCAGTTGGAAAATGCATATCAGGATTTTCGGAACACCTCGTGATTATTCGGTCCGGAACACATCTGGAGTTATCGTGCCGTTTCGACCATTAATGGTGATGTGGTGTTTAACTATGGTAGTAACAATACAAGAAAACGCATTCGTGTTATTTATGAATCTGATTCTGATTAAATTAATTTGTCAAATGAGCATCAGACCATAAGTGAAACTGATCAGATGGACATGTGATAGAATCATCAAATGGACATAGGCCATATTATCGGACACCAAGATTAACGTAAACAGACAGTTATTCATATTTCTATTGTTGCAATTGTGTTTTTATTTCATTAAAATGTGTTGATCACCAAAGTTACAATTTGTATTGTATTGTTTCTGTGCGATTTCCTAATCAACACACTAAAATTAGCATTTATTCCACTTTTTTTTCTAATATGCATTTTCTATCGATGATCTTTGGTGAAAAATTGCTTGAAAATTGAAGTTCATAATTGATAATTGAAAAAAAAATGATCGCCCAAAAGTTATGGTCAAGTATATCATAAACAGAATAAAACATGGTAAAATCCATATCACATGCCATATCAGCCCTCGACCAATATCAGCCCTCGGTCTGATATTGGGTCCTCGGGCTGATATGTGTGACTCTACATGGGGATATTTTTAGATGTTGCATATTGTCTGTATACTGCTAAAACATAACCAGAATTCCTTCATACCTGACAAAACAGTCATAATTATTTCACTCCTGACAAAGTCTATTTTGTCATCTGTGAGGCCAAACCTCCTCACAATTTTTTCCCACTGTCAAAGCCCAAAAGAAGACATCCTTATACCCTTCCTCTTTTAACTTATTTTAATCAAAGATATTTACCTAAAATAAATCTTAGACTACACAAAAAAATGAGAATACATTCTATTATGAATAGATTAATTTAAACAATGATAATAAAAATTGACAATCTTTTATAAATATATACAATAAAAGAAGTGTTTTGATTATGTTTAAAATAGCAAAGTTTATAATTCTGTTCAGGTGAATTGTGAAATCTTATATATATTTCAAATATCAACAATTTTTCAAAGCTAACTGCTGTTTAGGTTTCATTCATCCACAGGACTTAACAATATGAATGCAATGCTTGAATATAATTTAAAACAACCTATATAACACCACAATCATGATCACTCATAAAACATCACAGTTTTAATCTATCAACTCTGGTCTAAAACCTGACATGATCCTCTTTCGTGTTTCCCAAAGAAATAGACATCCTTTGCATCCTGAAAGGACACCCTGACATATTTTACGGAGCATGAAGATCGGCAAACTTGGACTGAAAACTTTCTAAAACTGATGAATTGTCATCGTCATCGTCAAACAATTGATCTTGATGTGACCCTTGCACATGATTGTTTTAAAAGTTTTGTGTTGATAATAAGTGTACGTTTCATTCAGAAATAACATTTGCCAAATTACCAAACACTTCGAAAAGATGATCTACCAAACGGTTGTTTGTTAGTCCCAACTTTGCCCTTTCCTCTGCCCCTTCCTCCGCCTTGTCTAAAACAGATCTCCCGTCATTGTCAAGTATGGTTGTGATGTCATACTTACGTCCTGTAGATTCTAGGTATTGTTTTACATAAGTTTCACACTCAGTGAACATGTTGAGCAAGTCTACCCATATCCGACGTGACCTAGCTATGTAATGTAGACAATGATGGCCGTCCTTATCTACAGCTGTAGTTAGTGCTGGGTACGACTGACATAAATATAAACAAAGCTTCCTGTTTCCACTCGAACAACTCCAATGTAACACCGTTCTCCCTTTATCATCCACTAACTGAGCCATGAACTGAGCACACACACAGTTCCTATGAACCACACGACCATCGACTGACTCACACCTATGCTGTTGGTCCTCAACTCTATATAAGGAGTTAAGTACAAACCTCTCCAGTATCTGAAACATAGAACAGTATCCTATATCTGCCACAACATAGAGCGGGGTTCGTTCCTCATCATCAGTGGCATGTACCAAGTGTGGGTAAGTGTCACATAACAACGTCACCATATCTTCTCTCCGACACTCGCATGCCACATGTAGGATATTGCTATTGTTATAACCACCCCTCCCTGTAGTAGTGATGTCATACTCCAGTAGTTTACGTAACACTTTCACTGTGCCTCTCTCCACCACACGAAACACTATCTCCTTGTCAGGTTCTACTCCCTCACTCAGAAGATATAAAGCACATTCTTCTGCACCACAAGAACATGCTTCATTCAACACAGCAACTTTTGTCTCATCATTCAAGTATACAACAATTTTCCTAAGTAAACACACTTGTTTTTTACTATCATTCCAATGTCTGTTAATCAATAACCACAATGCCGTCTCCTTGTCAGGTTTTACACCTTCTGATAGAAGATATATAACACATTCTTCTGCACCACAAGAACATGCTTCATTCAACACAGCAATTTTTGTCTCATCATTCAAGTACACAACAATTTTCCTAAGTAAACACACTTTGTTACTATCATTCCAATGTCTACTCCTAACCAATGACAATGCTGTGTCCTTGTCAGGTTTTACACCTTCTGACAGAAGATATAAAACACATTCTTCTGCACCAAAAGCACATAAATCATTCAACACAGCAAATTTTGTCTCATCATTCAAGTATACAACAATTTTCCTAAGTGAACACACTTGTTTTTTACTTTCATTCCAATGTCTGCAAATCAATGACACCAATCTTGTGTACTTGTCAGGTTTTGCACCTTCTGACAAAAGATGTAAAACACTTTCTTCTGCACCAGAATAACATGCTCCATTCAACACAGCAACTTTTGTTTCATCATTCAAGTATACAACAATTTTCCTAAGTAAACACACTTGTTTTTTACTATCATTCCGATGTCTGTCAATCAATGACCATAATCTTGTATACTTGACAGGTTTTACACCTTCTGACAGAAGATATAAAACACATTCTTCTTCACCATTACAACAAGCCATATCCAACACAGTAAGTTTTGTCTTATCATTCATGTATACAACAATTTTCCTAAGTAAACACAGTAGTCTGTTACTATCATTACAATGTCTGTAAATCAATAACAACCATGCTGTGTTCTTGTCAGGTTTAACACCTTCTGACAGAAGATATAAAACACATTCTTCTGCACCACAAGAACATGCTTTATTCAACACAGCAACTTTTGTTTTATCATTCAAGTGTACAACAATTTTCCTAAGTAGACACACTTGTCTGTTACTATCATTCCGATGTCTGTCAATCAATGACCACAATCTTGTGTACTTGTTAGGTGTTACACCTTCTGACAGAAGATATAAAACACATTCTTCTGCACCACAAGAACATGCTTTATTCAAAGCAGCAAGTTTATCAACTTTTCTGTCATTCAACAACCTGACAAATCTTTTAACAAATACAGGATCTTTCCATACATCTAGAGAGCCAATACTATCATCATCATTCCATACATCTAGAAAGCCAATTCTAGTACCATCATCATCATCATTCGATACATCTTGAGAGACAGTACTACTAGTACCATATTGTTTCTCCTCACATTCAAACTCTCGGAGTAGACGCTCACACATTTCTGTATAATGATCAGATGATATGACAATCATGTTTGTAGCTGTTTTTGAGGTTGTTAGATAACTGAGGGATTTGCTGGGACAATTCTGTATGTAGCCAATTGGTGTGGCTTTCCCATACAAACATGCCACAGCAACATATATAGAATCGTGATTAAATCTGTACACATCCTCAACAGACCAATGTTTCTCCTTCACTACTAAGTCTTCATCAAACCACCAATGTGTCTCCTTCATTACTAAAAATCCTAACAACTTTTCCAAAGTTTCTTTTACGAATCCTACTTTTTTCTTATATGTCAATTTGGTACTGTCATCTTCACNTCAATCAACTCTATTGAAAATGCTTGTTCCAGCAATTTTTCATCGACGGTTTTACTGTTTGGATCAAGATCTTTTACTCTCATCATTCCGCCATTGAGGAAGAGGTACAAAAGTGCAGAACATTCTTTTAATTTTGACAATGCTTCATTTAAAAAATGAAAAGGATTTTCAAAAAATCTCACTCGCTCTTTCTGTAATTCTTCAGAATTGTAGTAAAGCTGGCAACATTGCGGGAATCCAATGTTTGGTGCATAAGTTAAAATTTGTGTTTTTTCTTTGTCTGTCCATGAAACGTTTTTTGGCTTATACAGCTCTAAAAGTTCTCTTTTTTCTTCTGCAAGTTTGTATGTATGTGAGCTCAGATCAATAATGTTATCTTCGGTTAAAATTGTTCCAAGAGAACGTTTTTCCAAAGAATTGAATACTTCATTACGAATAGTAATGATGAGAAAATTGGTCTGGGTTTGTTTATCTACAAATAGCGTTTCTACATCTGAGATTCTTTTGTTCCACTCTTGTACATCCTTTTTACTCGCATCTTTCTCACCAAAAATATCATCAATAAAAGTGATCAATTTCATGTTTGGAGCCAAAAAATCTAATGTCTTAATCTTGTGAATTTGCAGGGGTTTTCCGGCTTGCTGCTCCTCACTCAGCCAATGGAGGAGTTGAACGGCGATTGCTGTCTTACCGTCTCCTGTATTTCCCTTGATGACAACAACCTTGGTCTTTAGGAGCTTTTCTTTAGCATCACAGAAACTTTTGGTGGGGTAGAATTTTTTTTCTTTTTCTTTTGTAATTCTGGCTTTGGCTGTTTCTGCAAGAAAAATAAAAGATATACTGTAGGTGGAGAAGTCTTAATTGTGTTAAAGGATTTTGGCCAAGATTTTTTTACATTTTGTAAAAATAAGCGAAACCTGTAATTTACTTAAATAAATACAGAACGTGCGTTCAGAAGTGTCCCGTTTCTAGATATAGGCAATCAAAGGTGACCGCTCCTTACTGGCGAGAATTTTAATGAGCTAACAGGTCACGTGGTACTTGTGACGTCAGAGTGGCACATTTGGGCCACTGGTCCATATATTTTTCTGATTTGTTTAAACGGACACATCTGACAGTGTGATTCTTGGCATGAACCTACATACTAAATACAATTCTCTACAAAATTCGGTTGAAAACAGTACGAAGACAAATCATTGTATATTTATATAAAAGTTACACAGGAGGACGATTCGAATATGACAGGAACGTAAATAAGATACGCATATAGCACAGTGGCTTCAGAGTGACAATTGTGTGACTTTTTAGAGTCATATATTTTATATAATCTACTGTAATGTTCTGAAATCTGCTGATAAATCGCATGTATTCCTCCTATATGTATATATACATGTACCATAACTGTACCCAAATCGGGACAGTAACGAAAACGGGACACTTATGGGAGAACGGCCCAAGAAACTGTCTTTCAAAGCAAAGAAGTACTTTTATGTATATAGTTTTCATTTCATGATACTTTTCTGACAATTTAACTGTATGTAAGCTTTATTGGCTGCTGATTATCATTACATGGAGAATTTAAATGTAAGAATAATGACCAAAACAAAACTTTCCTGATTTACGTGCCGTGCGATGCTATTTATTTCGATATCATTTTCAAAAATCTATTTTATCAAAACTTATGCTAGTTTGGAGAAGAAATTTAATCATAACCCTGTTTGACTCTAAAATATTTGAAATATGTCTTCATTTCTGCTGATATTGATCGTTTATCCAAATATTGTGTTCTATTAAATGAGCTATGAGAATTTCCTTTTAGCCCAATAGGCAGAGGGTCAGACTAGTTAGCCAGTGGTCCGAGGTTCAATCCCTAGAAGAGAAATTGCATTGAAAAATGACCTCTGTTACAATCATGAATGACATACCTTGTAGTTGTAACAGAACAAGAGACCTAAGGGCCTTGAATCCCTCACTTGGATATTTTGAAAATCTAGTTGAAATCTGGTCGATAGTTTGGGGGAGATGGCTTAGTGGAGGCTCAGCCCTTTATATTAATTGCATTTATTTGCTTTAATTTTGATCAAAATGGGTAAAGGACACTTCCACAGCAATTTGCTTAAAACCTGCCATGTAATTTGGGAAGAGATGTCATTTAGAGTTAAACTTCCAATTCAACCTCTTTTGATCCTAACTCTAAACTCCCAAGAGTCAGCTCTTAATTTGTGTAAAGTTTGATCCCCATGGGCAAAAGATGCTACAACAATAATTTTGTTAAATCTTGCCCATTAGTTGGGGAGATGTCACTTAATGCAAATCTGCCCCCAGCACCCAGTGGGGGAAAGGGGACCCCTTTATGTATAAATATTTTGATTCCCTTGGCATAAGAATTTGAGAAATTGGTTGAATGCTGCTCAACAGTTTAGGAGGTGTCATTTAAAGCAAAAATTGATCAAAGACAGAGACGACGACAGATGAAGCATCACCACAAAAGCTCACTGGTACTTTGTTCCAGATGAGCTTATAATTCCAATCTGATTTAAACAAAATCTTTCATTCTGTTCCTCTACAATATTTTTGGTGTAAGATATGATGACGTGGCAAGGGGTCATGACCTGGTGACCTTCAATACAGAAGTCATGTTAAATTACATGTAATTGAAATATTGAGACTATTTGGAGGGCATTTCAATGAATGGCTGCAATTACATTCACCAGAACATGACCTGTTATGAACTTGTCGTTAGATCCTTCACCGTAGTGTGTGGAAACAGAGAAAGAATAAACTTTATCAGATTGGTGTTAAATCTGGTACTCTTTTGGCAAACCAAGATTTTTGTTCAAAAAGAACTATAAAACTTGTCATATATGTTAAGATGATGCATGTTGTTCTTGTCCAAGTTTTAAGGAAATCTGCTGCCCTTCTTCTCTAACCATGTCCAATCCAGTAGATAAGACTCACCTATCATGGGTTCTAAGTCAGGATGGATTTCTGTAAAATAAAAGATTTACATTAAATAGGGTAGGACACAATTTGAATTATAAACAGATGATTTATTCCAGACAAATTTTCTTACTACTTAAATCTTACACAGTAATCTCAACCTGACAAGTCGGTTACCAAACTATAGATCATAATAGTACACTAGTAGATATCATTACATGTATACATGACAGAACTAGTACACTAGTAGATATCATTACATGTATACATGACAGAACTAGTACACTAGTAGATATCATTACATGTATACATGACAGAACTAGTACACTAGTAGATATCATTACATGTATACATGACAGAACTAGTACACTAGTAGATATCATTACATGTATACATGACAGAACTAGTACACTAGTAGATATCATTACATGTATACATGACAGAACTAGTACACTAGTAGATATCATTACATGTATACATGACAGAACTAGTACACTAGTAGATATCATTACATGTATACATGACAGAACTAGTACACTAGTAGATATCATTACATGTATACATGACAGAACTAGTACACTAGTAGATATCATTACATGTATACATGACAGAACTAGTACACTAGTAGATATCATTACATGTATACATGACAGAACTAGTACACTAGTAGATATCATTACATGTATACATGACAGAACTAGTACACTAGTAGATATCATTACATGTATACATGACAGAACTAGTACACTAGTAGATATCATTACATGTATACATGACAGAACTAGTACACTAGTAGATATCATTACATGTATACATGACAGAACTAGTACACTAGTAGATATCATTACATGTATACATGACAGAACTAGTACACTAGTAGATATCATTACATGTATACATGACAGAACTAGTACACTAGTAGATATCATTACATGTATACATGACAGAACTAGTACACTAGTAGATATCATTACATGTATACATGACAGAACTAGTACACTAGTAGATATCATTACATGTATACATGACAGAACTAGTACACTAGTAGATATCATTACATGTATACATGACAGAACTAGTACACTAGTAGATATCATTACATGTATACATGACAGAACTAGTACACTAGTAGATATCATTACATGTATACATGACAGAACTAGTACACTAGTAGATATCATTACATGTATACATGACAGAACTAGTACACTAGTAGATATCATTACATGTATACATGACAGAACTAGTACACTAGTAGATATCATTACATGTATACATGACAGAACTAGTACACTAGTAGATATCATTACATGTATACATGACAGAACTAGTACACTAGTAGATATCATTACATGTATACATGACAGAACTAGTACACTAGTAGATATCATTACATGTATACATGACAGAACTAGTACACTAGTAGATATCATTACATGTATACATGACAGAACTAGTACACTAGTAGATATCATTACATGTATACATGACAGAACTAGTACACTAGTAGATATCATTACATGTATACATGACAGAACTAGTACACTAGTAGATATCATTACATGTATACATGACAGAACTAGTACACTAGTAGATATCATTACATGTATACATGACAGAACTAGTACACTAGTAGATATCATTACATGTATACATGACAGAACTAGTACACTAGTAGATATCATTACATGTATACATGACAGAACTAGTACACTAGTAGATATCATTACATGTATACATGACAGAACTAGTACACTAGTAGATATCATTACATGTATACATGACAGAACTAGTACACTAGTAGATATCATTACATGTATACATGACAGAACTAGTACACTAGTAGATATCATTACATGTATACATGACAGAACTAGTACACTAGTAGATATCATTACATGTATACATGACAGAACTAGTACACTAGTAGATATCATTACATGTATACATGACAGAACTAGTACACTAGTAGATATCATTACATGTATACATGACAGAACTAGTACACTAGTAGATATCATTACATGTATACATGACAGAACTAGTACACTAGTAGATATCATTACATGTATACATGACAGAACTAGTACACTAGTAGATATCATTACATGTATACATGACAGAACTAGTACACTAGTATATATCATTACATGTATACATGACAGAACTAGTACACTAGTAGATATCATTACATGTATACATGACAGAACTAGCACACTAGTAGATATCATTACATGTATACATGACAGAAACAGTACACTAGTAGATATCATAACATGTATACATGACAGAACTAGTACACTAGTAGATATCATTACAGGTATACATGACAGAACTAGTACAGGTACTTGTCTTCTGACTCACAAACACCTTATATCAATGTTATGTCAAAATAGCCATGTTGTATCTTTTACATAAACGATTCAAGATATTACCTGATTATCTGGTCAACTGGAATTAAAATTAATTTAAAGAGGTGAATATCTCCATATGTTTAATAATGAAGCTACTTGACTATCCAGTCACTTAAGAGCAAAGACAGATGTAGCTGGACTATCCATGTATTCCTATGTATTTACAATAAGGTGGAGATACTAGCTTTCTGGCACTTGGTTTGACTGTTGTATATCTTTTCAAAATATTCCACTATACTTAGTTTCTTTATTCAAATTCAGAAAACAACCAGCTAGTAAAATATAACCAGATGGTACATCTGGCTATAAAGGCCTGTGGATAACACTGCAGCTGTCAAACTTACTTTTGTCTCGGCTTGTGTCTGATGTTGTAACAATCGTGGCAGCCGGATCTGGAAAAAGATGGAAAACAGGTATACTTACTATCAAAATCATTTCAATTCTGATTGTAATAAGTTCATGAAATGATTTTCATTACAATTTTAGCTAAGTTCCATTCACCATACACACACAACTTGGGCTTACATTGTATACTTGGACTGATAGAACTATGACAAAATATTACAAAACTATTGTAACATATGAGTTCTGTATTCTATAATTACCATCTTTATATCGATCATAAGGACGTTATAACACTGATTCCATTTCGGTCATTTTGAAGTGAGCTAGTTATCTTGATGTTGTTGACACCATGATGAAAGTGTTACAGAACACATGAGATCCCAGAGGGATCGTGGCTCAAATATCATGGAATGCTGCCGGTATGTAGGTTTATTTCTTTTCTCTACAAATATTGGTACAAAGGTAACAAGGAAGTTGTGCAAATCATATTGCAACACAAACTTTGAGGGACTTATATTTTATATTAAACTTTCTGATAAATCTGAAATTGAAGCATGCACAACTATATATGGACCAAGGAGATCATCCCTACCAAAGTTTACACTGCCTGTTAAGTGTTTACATAACATATCCAAGTATCATGGCTCGACAGGTCCTTGTTGTTCTTCAGATAAATGTTGTTGCAAGTATTTCAAGAATTTAACCCTCTGACCTTGAAAATATGTCAAGGTCTTTTACATGAGGAAACTTTATAGATCTCCATGTCAGGTGAAATCTCTGGCAAAACATCAGAAACCCTGGGCCTTATGGAACTTGATCAGAATACTCTTAAAGCAGACAGAGAGCAAACATTGTTCAGACAAGGATTAATAGACTGCCTGACTGATGAACTTTAAATTACAGACAAAAAGCAGTTTGTACAAGCTAGCATGGTGGGCTAACCATACATAAATAACCATAAAAACACAATTAAATGGTGGAATGAAGTATGATGATAACATAAAGCGTGACCTGAACTCCTGTTCTTTCTGTGATCATAATGGTTCCACAGTTACGTAGTCCTGTTAATAGATGGGCCTCACTGACAATATAATGTTCTTATACTTGTGTGTATACACACACCCAAACTTAACGTGTTTACATCCCACTGAACGTGAACTGATCACAAACCTGTAGACTGTTGCAGGTCTTGATCTCCTGACCTTGGTTGCTTGGCTGGTGATGGACCTGAAAAAAACCCAAATGTGTCAATGACTTTCACAAAATATACACTATATATAGATTCAGCAGAGATGTAATTGTATTAAGGCTAAGATCGTTCCAAAACTAGACTGAAGTGCTAGTTTCTAACTTTTCATTGACACGCTTGTACATACAAGTAATACACATGGAATATGTTTTGTTATTACCTGTGAAATATCAGAAATTCAGCATTTGAAAAAAAGACTTATATTTTCACTTCATGAGTATAAATTCTGATCTTGTAACCTCAAGATTGACTTTATTCATTTGTCAATTTCAGAGATGTCGTTAGACAGTTTTACCCCAACGTTTAATTAGAATCTGACGGACAAAATGAGGGATGCAATTCCAAACATCACCCAAACTCC